CATCTGAACTTTCCATCTCCCTACACAACAAACATATTCCTCGTCTGCCGCTTGCAACAGACTTGGGTCTGAAATACACTCCAGAATTTAGCCTGACTGAATACGTTAAACTACAAGTATCAAAGGTCAAAAGGCTCTTTGGATTTTTATTCCGAAACTTTAAGACCAGTTAATTCAAAATTATGCTGTACAAGTTGTGCGTAAGGCCCTTACTTGAATTTTGCCCCCCTATCATGGACAGTGTCTCCGTAAAAGACAGATGCAAAATAGAAAGTCTACAAAGGGCGTTTACTAAACGTCTAGTAGGTGAAAATCTTTGCATTTCTTACTATGACAGATGTAATCTATTCGACTTGGAACCCTTATGGGTTAGACGACTGAAGTTCAACCTAGAAATTACATTTAGGATTGCTAAAGGGCTTATATATTTTCCCCACAATGACTTTACTTTCAGTTCACCTAAGAAATATAACCTGAGAAATAAATCTTCTTCTTTTAAAGTTCCCCGCTGTCATACAAAATACAGATCAAACTATTACACTGTGAGATACCGTTGTATTTGGAACCGTCTTCCAACTGAAATTAGAAGCACTCCTACCCCAAAATCTTTCTCATCTCTGTTGAACAAATATTTTATTAACAACGGGTTAGAAGGGGTATGTGACAAACTAAAAATTAGAGATCTAATACGGCACTCTTCTGACCCTCACTGTTAGCTCCCGAAATCTGTGAACTCTATGTTTGACACTACTTTCACTATAATTGTTTTCACAACCGTAGCCACCTATTTCTAATCAGCCTTAAATTTAAAAAACTTTTTTTCAAATATTTTTGCATATATCCCTGATAATATTGTAATATGAGTATTTCAGTATGCTAAGGTTCACTCTCAAGTTCCAGATGCAAATCAACTGAAGATGACTGGTATTAAAATACCTCTGGAGCCTGCCTAATGCTATACGTAAGCACTGTCTAGCTCTACGCAAATTAAGGCCCAAATGATGCCTGTCTAGATAATCAAATAAACGAACAACATATCACAACTTTCTGCTACTTATTTGTTCAATGCTGCACGATTATTCCCTGATTTTCTAAACTACATTTGTTCATGTCTAAAATGAAGCCTATCTTACTATTCTATAACTATAATCCTGTGTATTCAAATTTTCCAGAACAACATATCATAACTTTCTACTACTTATTTGTTCAATGCTGCACGATTATTCCCTGATTTTCTAAACTACATTTGTTTATATCTAAAATGTAGACTCCGATAGTCTATTTTCCTTACATTTTTCTTCTCCAAAATGCTGTAACAGACGAAACATACATGGTGTTCTTCTGAAAGTAGTCATTCATACCATGACTTTGAGTGAGTCGACGAATATTTGGAAAAAAGTTCGTGGCATATTGCAACAGAAATTAAAAAAATAATTAAATAAAAAAATAATTAAAAAAGTGAAGCATTCCGTCAGGGCCTTGCACAAAAAGGTGGGAGGGTGGTGATTGCTAGTCAGCGGATATGGTGGTGGGGACATATGAGAACCACCCTTATCTGTGGGACAGCACTCTATTGCTGAGGCTCCTGAGTTCGAATGGCTTCTGCAAAATGAGAATAAATAAAAAAGTGGAAATAAAAATAATAAAAAAGAAATAGAAGTTGAAAACTGCCTAAAGCCAAAGTTTAGGTACAAACTCCCGAATGAAAGTAAATGGTATGAGTCCGCTACTTCAGAAGGACACCTAACTGAATACTTCAGAAAAACAGATATTATGAGGCCCTCAATTTTCTTTTACATAGCTCACCCACTCTGACTTTTGTGTTTAACTCTTTTTCAAACTACATAAGTAGGTGAAATTATCTCCTGTCTTTCACTTTAAACTAATTGTTTGCAGAAAAGACTGTAAAATATCGGGAAAATAATATTTCTTGAAAATAAACAATAAAAAACGATGAACCCCATGCCTGTTATATATTTTGAATTATTAACACCTTTTACATACTTCTGCACCTCTCTGCCGGTTTTCTTGTGTCTTCTTCTCTTTTCAAAAGTACTGCTTTCAACGAAGGTACTGATACAGCGCCGCTATTCTCCACTTATTAGTGATATTGCTAGCTCATCTGGTGAATAACGGGATCACCGATATTATAAAATCTGCTGATAAGTTAAGAGTTGGTCTCATAAACTATTGGAAACGTCACGAATATGGTGTACTTACAGGTGAATTTAATGTTTGATAGAATTTAAAACACTTTATGAATCATTTACTGATAATTATTGTTTATTCTGCATCTCTTATGTATCACGTTAGCACCTGTACAGAAATGCTACTTACCTTCCGCATTAACGCAATCATTTTTATGATTCCCGCGTGAAATTGACATGTATTATTTTTTCAATCACAGTTTAGATTTGACGCTTTATCCATTTCCTTATTTGTGCACTTCATTGTTTCTCTTACATTTACCAGTATTCAACTTATTTTTAGATTAACAAATCATATTATATATTCTATAAGTTTTCATAAATGTACATATGTTCATGCCTGTAAACATGGCTAGTTTCTGTTACAGAAACAAAATTATTATTAATATTATTATAGATACTCTAGTAACCTTACGTTAGCTGAACAGACTGATTATGCCAGACGTAAAACACGAACGCTGATAGGATGCATAACACGCAATTTCTTTTGTTGTGAAACTAGGGTTTTATTATACAAAGTATGTGTCCGACCTATCTTAGAATACTGCCCGTTTATTCTTAGCGGACTCAGACAAAATGACAAGCCTAAATTAGAGGGAGTGCAACGGCAGCTTACCTCAGGAACTCTTCGATTAGAAAGTGGTCTGGAATACCATGAGCGATGCGAAAGACTAAGATTAGAACCCCTCTGGAAAAGACGCCTTAAGCTAAACCTTATCTTTTACTATAAGCTAACTAATCTTCTCTTGCATTCCTCCGAGCCAATAACTAAACCTACCACTGTCATCAGTTACAATCTTAGAAATCATCACAACCTAGCTGCTATGGAGCACTGTCAGACTTACGTGCGGTACAACTTCTTCTTAAATAAGTTTTCAGTCATTTGGAATAGACTACCAGCTAATGTGCGCGATGCAAACACACCTCCAGTGTTCATCTCCTCAGTCACCAGACTGCTCACAGATGACAATGCACTTCTACGTCCGACTCTTACACCTTCTTTTTCACCATACATAGATATTTTAAGTTCTTTAAACGTGTAGTCACAACCAACTACAATTATAAATTTTAATATTATTGGAACTAGATGATAAACATTTCTACACAGGACAGTAATATTAGTTCACACATAATATAAAAGTCAGCATAACGGGACTAGTTAGTTAATGAACAAAAATAAGCATAGTTACAAAACAGAATATATATGTATATATTTATTAATCACTCCTTAAGGACTCCCGTTGCTTTCTTTTGCGTTGCTGTTGTTTGTCTTCTTTTTTCTCTCACCATTTCAGCTTCTATTTGACTTTTGAATGAGAATGAATAATGTGGATATTTTGACCATTTACAATGACAAATGATCTGCAAACATTATTGGTCCCGCATCTTTCATTTGCCTAGTTAAGAACGAATTAACTTTCCCCACGACGCAACCTGGTTTACATTTGTGGAATATACTCTTATACCAATGGAAAAGTATCAATTTGTAATACAACGTCCACGAAGATGCCGGAAATCTGGTTTGAGCAAACAACCATGAATTGATCGCTCAATCTTTAAATACATTTCAGAGATATTCATCTTTTTGTTTTAATTAGGTTTTTGATATGCTTAAGTCTAAATCCTACATACTTGAATTGCCAATTTTACTGCGTTTGTTTCCCTATCTTAATTCTCCAAAAACTTGAATTCTACTTTTGTATCCCTTTTTTCTCATAAATCAGATGTCGCTGAAGAAGTTGGTTAGGCTGTAAATGTTTTATTCTTGCTTCCTGTAAACATTTTGAATCTATCAATCACATAATGTACCAAAATTGTGAATCTGAATTTTTGTAGAATTATAGACTTTTCATAAAGGCTTTAGTAGTCAATCCACATATGATGGATCTCGTAGGTGCCCCTTTTTTCTGCTCATAGTATTATTAATAGTAATAATTTACTCGCCATTATAAATTTTTTAAATTAATCCCAGCGTGTTGAGAAAATCAAAAGATTTTTATGAACGTTTTGCCGTGTAGACAACAGCTACTTCAGCAGATTTATTCGGATTTATTCTATTCCAAAAACAGTACTTGTAATACAGAATGGAATTTTCATCATTAATCACAATATTACATCTAATTTCCTCAAATTATAAATAAAATTAATCACACAGAAAATCTTTCACATTTACAATATGGGTAATGTCAGAAACATGCAGCAAATAAAGTGGAAATAATAATAATGATAACAGCTAAGGTAATAATAATAATACAAGTGAAAATTGCCGTGGGTTTGTTACACACAGTATTGTCAATGCGGTATATAAATCCTAGCATGTTTAAAAATATTGAATATAATACTCTCTTTACATGATATGGTGAGGGGAAAAACAAAGATTACAGCAGTCATAGAGATAAGTTGGTGTTTGCAATTATGAGAGTAAAACAAAGAAGCAACAGGACCATAAACATAGTAGAAATAATAAAAGTAAAACTTAAAAGTATATAAGGATGGATGGAGGAAATTGTTTGTTTACTAGATTGAAAAAGGTTAGTTAATTCTTGCCTGACACTATTTTCATCACATAAAATACGTGCCAAGTATGGTATCAGAGAATCTCTATACTTAAGCGTGTGAGCATACAGTTTTCTGAAGTTACTTCTTGTTCTACCTGAGGAGATGCAAGGTGAAAGTTGAGGGTAAAGTGAATGCTCCAAGTCAGACAAAATCCCTGTAGCAAATTTATTGCACGAAGTCAAGTGCCTATCGACAACGATGTCAACTATTTGGTCCACTGGGACACCACTCACACTACTGACAGTCTTTAGCATTCTACGAATTGTGACATAGTCCTTTTTAAGCAAACCAGGAAAGAATAAGGGTGAACAATAAAGAAGAATAGGTAGGATGCAAGAGTTTATGAACTGTAGGATGAGGGGTTGAGTTATACCTGAATGCCTTAACTTCTTAATGTAAAATGTAAGGCGGAATATTTTACTGGAGATTGCTAAGACATGGGAAGACCAGGAGAGATCAGAAGAGAGAATGAGTCCAAGATACTTAATTTCTGACTTGATTCCTAAATCATTGTCGTCAATTTTACAACTGCCATGAGAATCGATGACTTCTTTTAACTGCCTTTTACATCTTAAGCTGAAATTAACAGTTTGACATTTAGAAGGATTCAGTTTAAGACCGTTAGACTCAGACCATTTACTGACTCCCGACAGACAGCTATTTAATTTGGTACAATCTAGCTGGGAGTTAACAGCCATTGAAACTTAAGTCATCAGTGTACTTAACAAAGTTCATTTCATCAGAGTGAGGCAAGTCATGCGAGAAAGAAAAAAGAAAAGGAGAAAGGACAGCGCCCTGAGGGACACCAGCTTCAGCAGGCAATGAAGTGGAATACTTCCCTTTATACACGGTGTACTGCTTTCTTTCTGAGAAATAGGAATGTAACCAGTTAACAGCCCAACATTCTGTTTGACTTGCAGCAAGTTTATCTAATAAGATGTCCCTAGGGACCGAGTCAAAAGCAGCTGTATAGTCTAGGAAGGCACAACGAACAAATTTAGCCCCCTTGTCTAGACTGGAAACAATGTTATGATATAAGACGGCAGCTGCATCTAAAGTGCTTCCACTGTGCTTATAGGCAAATTGTTTAGGATCATTAAAGGATTTAAGCGAAGGTAGAAGACTAAGTAAAAGTAATTTCTCCATAGTTTTCAAAAAAGGAGAGGTAATAGCAATGGGTCTAGATTTGACACATGCTCCAGTAGATAATTTAGGTATAGGTACAACTTTAATGTCCTTCCAAACGGCAGGCACAATATTACTGGAAAAAGATTTGTTAAACAGATCAGTGAAAGGGTGACACAGAATATCAGAACATTTTTTAAAAATAATACTGGATATATAATCTGGACCTAAGCTCTGGGAAGGGTTTAGATACTTAAGGCACTTTTGAACACCATTTGTGTCACAACCTGAAAATGGGCTACTATTAACACTAGTGATGCAGGGAAGAATGGCATTTGAGGGAGAGTAAATAAAAGATTTGTTAAGAGTACATACATCAAAAGAATACGGAATATTGTTCATCTGCTTACCACCAGTGACTTCCTTAAATAGTTTCCACATATTGGAAGCACTTTTGCAGGATATGAATGTCTGGTTATATATTACATTCAACCTCTGCATTTCAGACTTAATTAAGAAGTTAGTTCTTCTTACACCACTTTTATCTTTCATCTTATATGGTTTTTCCTTCTCTCTACGAAGCCTTTTAAGTTGAGGGAGGAGAAACGGTCAGATTTGACGAATAGTGTTTCTTTTGGACAGCAGATTTCAAAACGGAATTTCAGATAAGATGTAATATTAGAGATAGTGTCATCAAGTGAATCATTATTAAACAGATCCCATCTTGTGTCGCTGAGCATGTTTCTAAGATGATGTACGTTCTCATTTGAGTAACATCTGTGAACAACTTTCTTAGACAAGTTTGAGAAGGCTTTACTGTGTAACTTTCCGTAAATTTGGGTTAGGCTCGTACAATACAGTGATCAGAATTGAAGGGCGGGGCTCTTTTACGTGCTTCGTATATTCCAGAATCATTTATAAATACTAAATCAAGTGAAGTATCTTGTCGAGTTGGGAAGTTAACATTTTCATGGCCCAGCAATGTTATAAAGCTGCAGTCGCTGGAGTTGAAGTCGCCAATCACTATAGATAAGGAGTTACCAGACGAACCGGCAACAAAAATAGTGAATTCACCAGCGAAGATCGATAGTTCCGAGGGACTGCAACAAGGTGTGATATAGATATTTGTGACAAAAATGAAGCTATACTTAGATAAGTGTTTAGGTCGACATTTAACAGTTATACAATCAATATTGTCATTTGAGAATTTGAAGCAGACGTTGTTGGCAGTAGACCACTGAGAATTAATAACCACCACCTCTCTTCTTCTTTGAGCTGCATCGGTCTTGTCTGTACATTGTGAAACCACTTCAGGAGACTAAATTATCGTCCTATGTGTCGTGGAGCCAAGTTTCTTGAAGTGTTATTACACCAGTACTACAATATACATTTGGGTATAATAGAGAATGCAAGTAAATAATCTTGTTCGGTAGAGATCTGCAATTTCAGATTCAGATGATAAGGATAGAAGGCTCTTGTGGCCTGTGTTAATCCTTGCAAAGTATATCTCTGCAGAGATCTAACTTCTCTTTGAAGCGTTCACCGATGGAGCTGATACTACTGAATCAGGTAAGGAGTTCCAATCGTTGACCACTCTGTGAGAGAATCTAAATTCTGCACGTATTTTAATCGTCCTTGGTTTGAGCACCTTTTTGCGGTGACCCCGTAAATGTATCCTAGAAGGGGAGAAAAGGTTAGACTAGGTTAGGTCAGTTCCTAAATCACCCTTAAGTATACGGTATGCTAAAATTAAGTCGCCTCTCTTCCTTCGGTATGATAACGGGAAGAGATTTAAATGCTCCATCCTCTTATCATAAGGAAGGTGTGAGATACCACTAACTAATTTTGTTCCTACTCTCTGTACTCTTTCCAGAATATGTGCCTCCTTTTTGAAGCATGGACTCGTCGCTTGTATGCAGTATTCTAGATGAGGCCTGACATATGTTGCGTAGAGTATTTGGAACATGCCCTCGTCTGATCTTTTGAAAGCCCTTCAAATTGCCCATAGCATTCGAAAAGCTTTAGCTGCGGCTGCATTGCAATTTGCAGTTGTTTTCAAATCATTGCTGACAATGATTCCTAGGTCCTTCTGTTCGTTAACATCAGGTAGTTCTGCATCCCCTAGGGAGTACGACGCATAAGACTTCTGACCTAAGTGCATTACCGCGCTTTTCCTAGCATTCATTTCCAAACTCCATAGGCTTGACCACTCAGCTAATTTATCTAAATCAGTTTGTAGGGCCGACCTATCCTCGTTATTGTTTACAGTTTTCCATATCTTAATGTCATCTGCAAATAATAATGAAGATGAAGAAAGAATCCCTGGTAATTCGTTAACGTATAATAGGAATAGCAATGGACCTAATACAGTTCCCTGGGGCACTCCACTGGATACTGCTTTCCATCCTGATAGTACACCGTTAACTCTAACCTTCTGCCTTCTATCCATTAAGTAATCTCTAAACCACTCACATAGGCATTGGTCTAGTCCGAAACCTTTAAATTTACTAAGGAGACCTAAGTGGGATACTTTGTCATCTTCTCGCGTGTCATTTTTGTGCCGTCTTGTCTGCCAACCGACCTTACCTTCAGTTCATACTACCTACATTGATCCCTAACTATATTGTTCTGCTGAATCTTGCTTCACTATTCACAAAACCTATTCTTTTTATTCTTTAAGGTTCTAACTTCTTGTAAAGTAATCTGTTCATTAGGACGCATGCATACATATATAATGTTCATAAAGATGTACGCGGAGACCTATTGGAAGCACTCATTAAGAAAGCTAGGGAGATGGAATATGAGGTACGAACATGTCTGGTACCAAGCAATATATTTGCGGTAACCATAATAATCATAGTCTCAGAGCTTAACATCAAAAAAGGAGGGAGGGTGGTGCTAGCTGATCAGTAGATATGGTGGGGGTCACTAAGGTGAATCGCCCCATTCTGCAGGAACAGCAATACGCAATTTGAAGGCTCGAGATATTTCTGATTTTTATGAGGGCTTAGATCTTTATCTTGAAAAAGATAATAATGAACGCCTAAACAGATCATGCTTCTACCTTTAAATATATACCATTCGCTAAGCCTATTGTTGAGACGCGACCACGCGGGATCTGCACACATTCATCGGGCATTTTATAAACTAACTTGCTGTCCATTGTCTGATCTTTAAATACCACTTCACAATGTCTTATCTCATTCATTTTCCAATAACGTCTTTACTTGATCCTCATTATATCCCATTAAACCTAACATTTTACAGCTCTTTATGACTTATTATATTCCTACTCTCTGAAGGGTACGGTTGTGCACTAAATGCACAAAAAGGTATAAAACAAAAACAACTGGCACAACTGAGGATAAATGTATTAAAACCAAAAGTGGACATCAAGATATTACGAGATATACGTGTAGCATTATACATTGCAAATGAACGTTGTCAACCTAGGGAGTTTCCTTTATTAATGCATTTATTAATGATACTTGCACTTACCTATTTCATTACAATTTAATGATTCACCTCAGCACTTTGCTTTTCTAAAACAGCTTTCAATCCCTTGTAAACGTTTTACTTACCTCAATATTGGTTGGTTATCGTATGCTTACAACCACGGGATGAAAACGAAACGAAGTTGATTTTCGCGCTCAACCTGGAGGACAATTGTACAATTCAACAACTATACGGCCTAGTTCAGACAATGTGTATTTATATATGTATCAAATATTTAACTGTTGAAACATTCTTAACTTGTAGACAATCTACGATTTGATATTATATCATACTTGATCGTGCCTGTAAAAATGGCATGCATTTTCATGTAAATTTATATGTTTATATGAGAATATACATTATTATTAGAGTTGGGAAGTTAACATTTTCATGGCCCAGCAATGTTATAAAGCTGCAGTCGCTGGAGTTGAAGTCGCCAATCACTATAGATAAGGAGTTACCAGACGAACCGGCAACAAAAATAGTGAATTCATCAGCGAAGATCGATAGTTCCGAGGGACTGCAACAAGGTGTGATGTAGATATTTGTGACAAAAATGAAGCTATACTTAGATAAGTGTTTAGGTCGACATTTAACAGTTATACAATCAATATTGTCATTTGAGAATTTGAAGCAGACGTTGTTGGCAGTAGACCACTGAGAATTAATAACCACCACCTCTCTTCTTCTTTGAGCTGCATCGGTCTTGTCTGTTCATTGGAAAACCACTTAAAGCCACTAATTTATGGTCATATGCCTCGTGGTGCCAGGTTTCTTGAATGGTTGTGTACACCAGTATTACAGCATACATTTGGGCATAATAAAGAATGGATGTAAAAAATTCTTGTTTGATAATGACCCGAAATTTTTGCTCATAATCTCAGGAACTGTCATCTCATGCATTGGAGTATACTTTAAAGATCTTTACCACCCACCATGATGCTTTTTCGTAAGGTTATTATATACTCGTAAATCATCAGGGGTGAGGATATACGTTATAGCGTGTCATATTTTCCGCGACTCAGGTTTTTCGTCTTTCATTGGCTAGAACAGTGGCGGTCAATTGGAGTTTGAATTGTCCTTGGGTGCGTGCTGTCGGGTGCTGTCTTTGCGTGGTTGTGTTTGCTTCGTTTGCCAGCATATGTGATGACTATAAACGTGAATTAGACTATTGTAACGCTTTGTTTTCTTTGTTTGTGCATGTACTAGGCCTTGTGTGTCGTACAATTCGTTGTTTGGTCTATCGGTTGCTTGCGATGTCAACGAACCGGTGGGTTCTTGTGTATTTCTGTAATTTAGATTATACGTGCGGTATTTTCTTGATGGTTATCGATCATCCCTGTATTTCGATGTTGTTTGTTTACGATTTATCTTGGAATAGTTGTGACATAGATGGATACTAATTGATAATTTTATTTTAGTCCATTGCAGGTAGTCAATTCGAGTGAAAGGCGCACAGACTTAAGTGGAATTTTTGCTGAATACATACTTGGAAGGCGTTTCTTCAGCTGGGATGAATTTGAGAAGTCATTAGCAGAATTCCAAAAAGTGAGGAAGTCATTTAATGCTAACAATATAGTTGTCCTGCACTCACTATGTTCATAATTATGGCAAAACGATACCGGATGACAGATTTAAGTACGCTTTTGTTTGTTTTAAATGCACTTTTGGAGTGAATCGTACAAGACCTGGATTGAAATTGAAAAACAAGTCGTAAGAAGAAGTGTAGTATGATTTCATGAATATATCAGGTCTAAATGTTGCAATCGCTCGTCTTCATTTCGCGTGGTTTTGCGTTATAGTGAAGACATATTTGCTTTCCACAATATGGTACATAACCATCCATGCAGCAGGGTGTACATGCAGAATGACCCAAGAAAATGTGGAACCACTTCTTCAGCAATCCCACTCATACGATGAAATAATAATGCATGTTAAGGAGAAGTACCACAAGGATATAACTCGCATCGACGTTAAAAATATGAAAGCCACAGTTACTAAAGGTAACGTTGATGTACTTGTTACATACTTAAGGTATTTCGAGTCGTCGTGACATTTTTGAATTCCTAAAATCCCGTAGGAA